TATTATACAATAATACTGTTCCAGCTTACATACAAATTCGACTTAAGGACAGACCTTGGAATGGAACTTGTTCTTACTGGGAACCCCCTGCATTGACTCCTGAATAGCACAGTTTTGTTTTGTTTTTTAATCCATTTGATCATGTCTGATTCTTGGAGACTGCCTGGACAAGTCCCTGCAGTTTTCTTGGCAAGGTTTTTCAGAAGTGGTTTGCCATTGCCTCCTTCCTAGGGCTGAGAGAAAGTGACTGGTGGGACTAGAACTCAGTCTCCCGGCTCTCGAATAGCACAGTAGTTGTAATCAAATTTGATGCATGCCTACTGCATCTGGGTAAAGGCAAGAACTTCCAATATAAAAGCCTCTGTAGGAGATAAGTCAGGTTCTGAAATAGCATCTGTGACAGTTGGTTTACATGGTTATGTGCTAAAAAGGTAATTTGGGGGTGGCCACAGAGGCAATTTAACCTTGTCAAACCTTTGATTACATTGTACTGCCAAATTCACTGGACTTTGCTGCAAATATTAGAAGCCTTTGGCTTTTGACCTTGTTCTTCTGCCTAAAGAATTAACACTTCTAGAGACCCAGTTTGATGTAGTGGTTAATGGTGCTAGGTCGGAAGCCAGAAGATTGTGAGTTCTGGCACTGCCTTAGGCATGAAGCCAGCTGGGTGACCTTGGGCCAGTCCCTCTCTCTCAGCCCTCGGAAGAAGAAGGCCAGGGCGAACAACTTCCAAAAACGTTGCTAAGAAAACTGCAGGGACTCATCCAGGCAGTCGCAGACTGACTGAAAGGCACCCCCTCCCCCCATTAATGTTTTATACTGGATTGTCTCACTAAGTGCTAGATGGTTTCACAATGCTTCTTGCATCAGACACACAGCAGGATTCCACCCACCTCCAGTATCATTGATGCTTCAGTAGACTTTTACAATCTATGAAAATGTCCCAGAAGTTTATTGAGTGTAACTTAGCTTGAGATATGATTCAGGGTTTTGCACCATATAGGGCAAAGAATACTGATGGGATCATGCTGGGTCTAAGGGTTTCATGTTGTGGAGTCACTTTTCAACAAGATGGGCAGTGACAAATTTGACATATAAATAAATGAATAAAAATGTTCCAAGGCTTTATGGCTTTCATCCCTTCAATAGATAGATAGATAATAGATAGATAAAATGTATTATCTATCTATACTGTTCTAAAAGTATTGAAATTAGTTCCCAAGCCTTTGCAATTACTTTGGTTCACTTGTGTGAATACTGAACTTTTAGCAAACTAGAGACCTCTTCCCTAGCACTTCCTGGACTAGCCATGTAACATAGTAATTCTAGGAAGTGCTGGAGAAGTTAAGAAATCTGGCAAATAGGTTGCCACTGTCATCCTGCCAGGGTTTTTAAAGGTTAAGAAAGAACTGGGTAGGGATCCCTGGTCAGCTTTAAAAAAGTAAACACAACCCACCTTTACCCACTCAGTTCATGAATGAATGAATGAATGAATGAATGAATGAATGAATGAATGACACACATTTTATGCTTAGCTGGAATCTACCAACCACAGCAAAGGAGACAGATAAATGGAATAGATAAATACAAGCTGACTCATCCCTATTCTTGAGAAAGCCAATTATGAGACATGGCATCTTGTTGATATTGCTTGACCAAGTTAACTCTTCATTTGTTACCAAATCTAGTTTTGCTCCTTTGTTGTCCTTCCATTAACACCTAACACTGGGAGCATTGGAATCTGTCACAGAATTGCAAAACCTCTTTCTACCACATTTGTATTTTACAATTTACATAGATAGATAGATAGATAGATAGATAGATAGATAGATAGATAGATAGATAGATAGATAGATAGAGCCCAGTTTATATAATATTGGCTTCAAATGAGTTCTCTACCATATTTCATTCCCAGTCTTTATGGGAACCTGGCTAACAAATTCATTTACATTAATAGCACAATTTCCAGGAGGTGGATGGATTTAATTGAAAGAGGTTTTGAAATACATTCATAGTTTTCTCTTCTGCCAAGGGCACAGGAATAAATATGCATCACTGAATAACACTGGGCATTTGTAACTAATAACTCCACACCATGTGAATTTGCATCTGTTTTACCTTAGAGGTGAGTTGGGGAAAAGAAATAATTGGGACTTAAGAGCTCCAGAAAATTGTGCTGACACCAGGCAAAAGAAAGAAAGGGAGGCAGAGAGAAAAGAATTTCAGATTCTGGGCACTGAAACGTTGATACTGGATTTTAAAGGAACAACTTCATTCAATGACGTAACTCCCAGGAGTGTGTGCCCAACAATAATTCAGCCAAAAAGCTAGGAACTATTGACAATTCTCATGGTGGAATCTTACCCTCTGTTTTGAAAAATGGAGATTCTTTGATTGTGGGCAATCTGGCCAAGACGGTAGCTATAAGAAGCAAAATAAAAGATTGTGCTGAAATCCACCTTCTCAAAGATCGACCTGCAATCAAATCTGCAAATCAATATCATAACAGTTGGAAGTTTTATTATTGTATCATCTTCTGTTATCTTTCTATAATTTTAGGAGAGAAGACATCTAAATACAGTTTATAACCTATCTAGAAAACTCTTATTCCTAGTTCCAGTAAATGTATAATACATAATATAAATAATATGCTGTACGTTCAGAATTCCAACCTAAAATCCATCTGAATTTCATATTCAGAAAGAAGAAGTGGATGGTGAAGAGAGAAGACATACTAGGGAATTTGCAATTTCTTCTAAGTGGGTGAGCTCCTCCAAGACAGATCCAAAAGGGTGAGTTTGACATTTAACCTGATGACGCTGTTTCTTTTTTCACTGATGGGAAAATGCATTGGTCCATTTTCTATAGCTACTCAATCAACTCTCATTTTTGCATGCTTTTAACATTTTGATCTGGGCATGTGCATTACTTGATTTAAATTTCTATTTAAATAGCGTGGGTGCCAGGCATACCTCGCAAAGGATGGAAATTCAGAAACCAGCTACCACTGAAAAAGCCCACTCCCAGTAGCCATTGGCTGCCTCTCAGCAGGCTGAAATACATCTTGATATGGATGAGTTTAAGCTACTGGGAACAGTGGTGCCACAATTCAAGAACTACATAATCTGCCTCCTTGCTAGCTCCCTCTCTGTCATCAGCCAGAGGACCACTAACATCTTTTAGGTCATCCAGGTATTATTGTGCCAGAATAACAGCAGTTAGGACAGGCTTCATATCACTTCAGTAATGGCTGGGTGATACTATAAAGATGTTTTAAGTCACACGTGTAGAAATGGCCAGAGCAATGCTGATGGTGCCATTTTGCATAGGACTATATCAGTAGAGGCAAGGTTATGCAGAAAACAATCATCTGAGGCCCCTTTTAAGGAGAGATGACAAGAAGATGAATTGCTCGACACATGGAAGGGCTTATCCAAAGGATGGTTTGCTCAGATAGCTTAGCATCTTTTACTCAGGGTGCAGACTCCTGCTTCCTGGGCCCAACTCCAATGAAGAAAAAACAGTGGAGAAAAAGTTATATCCGTATATTGTGCAATTGGGCTGTACAAATATCAAATGCCACTCCAGAAGGATGCTGCAGAGCACACGCATGGTGTGGAACCTGTCTGAAACTCTTTAAGGCACCTGCATCTTGCCCCAGGGTTATTAAGCTGCAAAAGACATAGCTGCTTTAAAGAGTTGTAGACAGGCGCTATATGTCTTTCCTCTGTGCTCCACAGCACCTCTTTGGAATCAAATGGAAATAGCCCTACAGGTAGTCCTCACTTAACAACCACAATAGGGACTGGAAAATTGGTCATTAAGCAGGGTGGTCATTAAGCAGATCACCATGTGACCAGACCCAATTTTACAACCATTTTTACAATGGTCGTTAAGCGAATCCAGCTTCCCCAATGGACTTTTTTGCAGGAATTCACTTAACAACCATGTGATTCACTTAATGACTGCAGTGATTTGCTTAACGAACATCATAAAAAAGGTCACAAATCACTATCACATAACCGCAGGGGGTGGTGCAATGGTTTGCAATAGTTGTAAATGCAAGTACAGGTTGCAAGGCACTTTTTCCAAGCCTGTCGTAACTTCAAACCATCATTAAATGAACAGTCATTAAGCAAGGACTACCTGTACTATGCAGTGAGAAGAAAAGGGGAGGGAGTTCAAATTACATTCTTCTTCCAAGCCTTTTAAAAGTCTATAAAAGGACACAAATCTTTCCCAACATGAATTATAGCATCTCTTTTATAAAAGGTTATCAAAAGTGTTGGAAACACCAATAGTGTCCAGCTGGTGTGGCTTTCAGAAATTCTTGGAGCTGCAGCCCCAAAATTTCTGGAAAATATCCAGCTAGGGAGAACTGCCAATTATATCTCCCCCAACAAAAATGACTTTGCTCCAATCTAATCCCCATCATTTCTTGCCACTCGCAGTTATCTGAGAATCTATAGCAAAAGTATAAAGCTTCAGGAGAAAACAAGAACTAAGAGGTGGTGCAAAGGAAAAGAACAAAATGATGGATTGGCCCACCTGTCCGGCCAATGACAGATACGGGGTCACTTTCTCCAGAAGCATAGACTGCAATTACGGTCACTGTATAAACTCTGGCAGGAAGAAGAGAATGAAGAACAATGGACTGGATCCTGCCAGAAACCGTTATCTGTAGAAGGAAAAACGTATCACTTTTATAACCCAGCAAGGTCGTGTGGCTTTTAAGACTCAGTAGGACAATTCATAACTTCTGATGCTAGAAAATGTCCCACCCGTCCACCCACCATTTTCCCAAACATATTATAAAACTCCAATTTCAACCAGTTTGAAAACTTAACAGAAACTAAGTTCCAATAGACCTAAGATTCCTCACTATCAAATTTTATCAGGGTGGTATCCATATTCCTGTTCCTGGGATAAGACAATCTGTGTAATAGTCCTGTTGAGACATTGTGTCTGATCCATAATCATCCAGCAAGAGTCACGGTTACTCAGGAATTGGAATCCAATTCTCCTTCATTGAAATTTATTATGCTATCAAGGGTAAGTCAGCTCAGTAAGAGATGAGACTGGAGAGAACTGTTTTAAAATTCTTCTTCAGTTATAAAGTCTAGGGGTTGACCTTGAATCAATATTTCTCAGTTTACCCTTTCTTATATGTGGTGGAGAGAAAATGGAGGTCCATCCCTCAGAAGAGACACATTTTTTAATGAATGTGTCTTACAAGTATAGAATTTTTTAAAATGTATTTATTCAATTTGTATAGCCGCCCATCTCAAACCAGTGACTCTGGGCAGTGATCAATCATAAAAACAATTAAACAGTTAAAACACAATACAACAAATAGCAGCCAAGAAGTATCATAATCCATTGGTGTCCACCAGGAAATGGGGCCCTTAACACCCTTGGGACTTCAGGCCTGGGTACACAACTAGGTCTTCGAGGCCTTACAAAAGGCCAACAGGGTCAGAGCCATCCTAAACTCTGGAACGAGAATGTTCCAGAGGGCAGGGGCTATGGCAGAGAAGGTGTGCCTCCTGGTCTCTGCTAGCTGACATTCCTTGGCTGATGGGATCTGGAGCATGCCCATCCTGCCGGACCAGATTGGATGAGTAGAAACAACTGGCAGAAGACAGTCCCTCAAGAAACCTGGTCCCAAGCCATGAAGGGCTTTAAAGGTGACAACCAGCACCTGGAATTGCATCCGGAAACATACTGGCAACCAATGCAGCCCCTGAAGTAGTGGTGTTCCATGAGCTGAATAGCCAACACCATTTACTACCCGTGCCGCTGCATGCTCTTCAAGGGCAGCTCCATGTAGAGCACACTGCAATAATTCAGATGGGAGGTCACGAGAGTATGAGTGACAGTGAGCAGAGCCTCCCAGTCCAGGAATGGACACAACAGGCACACAACCTGAAGGTGTACAAAGGCCCTCTTAGCCACAGCTACCACCTGCTCTTCCAGCAGGAGCTGTGAATCCAAGAGGACCCCCAGATTATGCACTGGGTCCATCTGAGGTAGTGTCACCCCATCCAGGACTAAAGGTGGAAAAACCTTGGTACTGGGAGGCCCAAGCACCCAAAGCCACTCAGTCTTGCTTGGGTTGAGCTGAAGCCCATTGCACCCCATCTAGGCTCTTACAGCCTCCAGGCACTGAGACAGGACATCCATAGCATCACTCAGGCATCCTGGGTATAAAGCTAGGTATCACTGGCATTCTGATGATACCTCACCCCAAACCATTGGATCACCTCACCCAGAGGCCTCATGTAGATGTTAAATAAGAGGGGGGAGAGAACCAAGTCCTGCAGCACCCCACGAAGTAGGAGCCGTGGGCTGGACCTCTCCCCTCCTATCAACACCAACTGGAACCAACCCTGGAGGAAGGAGGAGAACCAGCACAACACCGTGCCACCCACCCACAACTCCTGAAGCCAGTCCAGAAGGATACCATGATCAATGATATCAAAGGCTGTTGAGAGATCAAGAAGAGCCAGGATGGATGCACTACCCCCATCCTGCTCCTGCCAGAGGTCATCCAAGACCACTATCAATGCCATCTCAGTCCCATATCCTGGCCTGAATCCTGACTGAAAGGGGTCCAAAACTGAGGCAGTATTTTCATTTTAACACATAATATGCATTAATATATACATCTTTGTTCACTTTTTTGAATTAGGAATTGTTCTTCAAAATTCAGAAAAATGAAGATGTTGATGCACACCTGCATTTCAGTTGGGGAAGTCCAAATTGGATAAGCTAGCATCAAAAGAGTTTCTCCTTCATCCTTAGGAAGGAAGAGAAATAAATAACATCTGCTATTCCTCATTGGTTAACCACAGAACATCCTAGCAAGAAAAGTTCTATGAAGATACCATCTAAAAAAAAGAAGAACCTTGCAAAATGTTTCTTGCACATTGGCCTTCAGTTGTGTTCAGTTCCTTTCAGGGTTTGGGGTCTGCAAGTCAGACATCTGTTTATGAGTTTTATCATAAAGCTACCATTGTAAATTTGGTGAGGCATCCATTTACTGTAGTTGGAAATACCCAGAACTTCATTGTAATTTATCTCTCATTTTACAGAAGGAATATTGAGATGGAGAGGAAACAGTGTTCTTAAGGCCATGAATACACAAGGGAGCCATATCCACATCAACAAAGCTCTATCTAACAGAAATCAAGTTCATGAGAACATAAATAGACCTGTGCTGGATCAGCCAGGCATCTATTTACCATCAGATACCTAAGGAAAACCTACAAGCAGTTGACAAGAAAACAGTTGCTATCCAAATGTCCAGTTTCAAGGTTGAGGATGCATCTGGTACCAGAAATTTAATAGAGATTAGATTGGCCCTGATCCTACTGATCTTCCAGAAAGCTCTGAAGACCTGGCTTTGTCACCTGGCTTGAAGATCCAGTTGTGGTGTAGAGCCCGTTCAGTGGTTATGTTGAATGCTGTGAATGCTTTTGGTAACTCAGCTACTGAATATGTTAAAGTTTTAATATGCTTTTAAATATTTTGGCTCCTTTTACTTGTATTTTGCTGTTCTTGTTGATGTGTTAATTGTTGTGAGCCGCCCAGAGTCACACATGTGACTCTACACAAATCAAATGAATGAATGAATGAATCAATCAATCAATCAGTCAATCAATCAATCAAACAAGCCACCATGCTTAGCTCTCATTGTTAGACTTGTCCTCCATGATTTTGCTTGAAGATATGTTAAATCTAAATGGATAATTTCATTAAATTCCAAACACTGAAGTACATGTGATGTGAAGTCTGTTCTGCGTACCATTTCCTGGTGTTTGTTGTGACCCCGTTCTGGAGTATAGCTGATTCTATAGTGCAGAACTGTTCCATCAGGGGGAGTCCAGTGGACCTGAAGGCTGCTGGGGGTTTCTGAATCCACAAAAAGATTTGTGGGTGGGTTCTTGGCAGCTGAAAGGAAATAAAATCCAGGAGAGTGAGCTTCTGGAAGTGAGAACCAAGCCCTGCATTTCTCCTAAGCCTCCTGAGGTTGTCCCTTTACCCTTCCCACTGTCCCACTACAGCTGGAATTGCCCCATTACAGTTGGAAAGAGAGGCATAGAAGTGTTTGGCTATTCTGCAAACATAGCAATTTAAGATTTACCCATTGGAGGAAGCCAGACTTGATCTGGGCCAGCTGTACTCAGGTGGAGTCAGAGGCTGCTGGTAGTTAGGGAGAAACTTGGAGTAAGTAAGGTTATTGAAGCAACACTGATCAGTAGAGGTGTTGTTAATTCCTGCCCTGGAACTGCTAGTGAGAGAGACCCTTGTTCTGGAAACCTGAGCAGTTGTCTGCAGAGTCTCTCTCTCACACTGTACAGATATAGTCTGCTGGTGAATCTGCTTAACTTTGTATGGACTTGAACTGAACTTATAACTTGGAGATAAACCTAATGGATTTGCTGCTACTGAAGGAAAAACATGGACAAACCCAAACATGGGCGCAAAACAAGCATGGACAAACCCAGACATGGGCGCAAAAAAGGATCCTGAAGTTGCTGTGAATTCTCACTCACAAGTTTCTTCAGTTGGTTTCCCAAATGGCCATTAGTACAGCTCTACGTGGACTATGGGGATGATTTCCCAAGTCAGATATTGTAGCTTGAATACCAGTTCAGTTTTTAAGGTGAAAATGGAAAGTTTGTTTGTATGCATTTGTTTGATTTATGTAGCTGCCCATCTCACATAGGTGACTCTGGGCAGCTTACAATAAAATAGATAAAAACAACAAAAAACATAATGTTAAATTAAAAAAAAATATATAGCAGCTGAACCTCATAAATAACTATCAACAAAATGATTGACTCAATCACCCAAACAGGGATGCTGCCCAGGAACAACTCTGAGGCAAATATCTAAGACCATCCTGCTGTAAAGAAAAGAAAAGAAAAAAGAAAAAAGAAAAAAGAAAAAAGAAAAAAGAAAAAAGAAAAAAGAAAAAAGA